ACTCTTCAGGTAAGGCTACTTCATTTCATTTACAACCGGCACAGAAGCGGCAATCCTTACAAATAAATCTTAAAGGCTTCCACTGTCTGCTTTGAATTAGTTAAGTTCATACAGGACATATCAGTCTATTTACAGTAGAAATGAACAGCAAGTTCAAACTTACGTCCCCAGTACTTTGTGTAGGTTTTCTGCTGCAGAGTACTTGGCTGTTTTGAAGTATGCAGAAGCAGCATGTTCAAACATGCACTGTGTTTGCTGGCAGCTTTCACATTCTTTCACCATTTACTGTATTAGTCTAGTCAGTGCACTTCTTGTTCACGACGTAATTTCCAAATGACTTTTTTCTTCTAGTTTCTGAATTTCTCAGTACCTGAGAATAACTACAGCTTTTCTTTGACTTAAGTATTAGAAAACCCTGCTGTATGCTTAGTAGTTCTTTTCAAGTAAACAAAGCTGAAAAGAATTTTCCTGTCCGTTCATCCATCAATGACATATACTTAAGTGCCACTGGGCCATTTGTAGTTCGAATCATACTGTAACATTTGTCAAAAGCAAGGATTCGGCTGTAAGGCACCTTTCTAGTATCCTTACTTGCTACCTCAAGTAGCAAACAGGTAAGCCATATTCAGTCTGTTATACTTAGTTCTAGACCAGGCACCACGATGCCGTAACGATTTGTTTCACACAACTCGTCTAAATCCTTACTCTCTCTTCCCACGTGAAAAACAGGCTTCTGGTGGTAGATGTGGGTTCAGGTGGTTTATCTGTTCCTTTTTAATTTACTGAAACTTGTGTGACTTGCTACACCCTTTATTCTGAAAGACTTAACCGCATGTCCAGAGTTTGCTTTTTAGATGAATGCTTCAGTTTCGTTATGGTGTTTAGGAATGGAGCTCTCAGCCTGCGTGCACTTCATCTAGAACATATTTGATTGAGAGGCTGGGTCCCCCCCGACAAGGTCAGGAGTTGCCTCTACAGGGAAGAGAGACACTTTTTTTCCCCCCTATTTCACACTCTGCAATAAGTAGGAAAAGTCTATAATTGAAAAATACGTATTTTATAATGAACAATGATGTGTACTTAAAAGAACCAATGGTTCTTCTTCATGACTTTGTTTGAAAAGAAATACCAGGTGTTCTTCCTATGGTACTTTATCTTTCTTAAACAACAAAAAAAAGTTTACTGCAAAGGCTATCAGAGGCCAAAGGCATTTGTTTTCCTACCTCACAAATATTAAAAGATTTTTTAAACAAAGTATGTATATGCTAAATATAATTAATTAAAATATTAGCCCTGTGTTTTTCTTCAGTGATGCTTCTTAACCTATCTGTAAACAACTCAACCACTGAAAAAATTTAAGTCCTTTTTTTTTGTTTAAAGGAAGTAAACTGCTCTGCAGCTGCCTTTTTGGACCAGCTACTGGGTACCTATGTAACTATATATCTCACATAATTGAGTTCCAGTGCATGTATGGAAAAAATTTATGGAAAAAAGATTTTCTAAGAATCCCAGGTCTTTCAAGCCCAGGTCTCGTTCATTTTATATATATATATGTGTGTGTGTGCGTGTATAAAAATATAAATCAATTCAAACTGTGATAACATATAAAGATGAAGAGTAGCTAAATTGATCTACGGTCCACCTATAGGAAGGATTAGGAATTAAGTACAACATGAAATCCAGTGTACTGGACTAGACAAATGCCACATTGTCTGAGTTTAAATTCCTTGTGGTGAAACAGTGCCCCCTGATGTCCAGCGAGCTACCTGGAAAGAGAAAACTACATTCTTCCAGATACTCTCGAACGAATTGTTCAACCTTCTAAAAACTGCAGTTAGTAACATGCAAAGTTGAGAACTAGTTAAGTCCACTCTATCATGCAGAGGATTTAGAGTCAGGTAAAGTTCTGTTTCCTTATCGTCACTGTGTTCAGGCATCAACCTTTCCACGTTGATGTTTTTTCATGATGTTTCCAAGTTGGATCCTTGAGTCATCCCCATCTCAACGATCCTACCTCAGCCTGTGGAGTCCTGCAAGGAAAGAAAGGTAAAGTTGCAGACTTTTCTCACGGCTTTTTCTCACAATTTCTGTTTCCTCAGAGTCTGAGCCAAGGTTATGCAGCTGGTCTGTATCAGAGCAGAGCCCTGGGTCTGGGAGGTAGGGGACAGTACAGTAGGGGTTAGAGAGTCACAATACCTGTTTAATAACCGGATTGTAACAGATCTTTGAGTGAAAAGAAAAAAAATAATCTTTTAATATTTCGTTGCAGAACCACCAGCTCAAAAAAATATTTGAGAAAGGGGAGAGCTACAGGAAAAAAACCCATACAAACCCTGGAAAGCTCTGTGTGGATAAAGATCTACACTGTAAGCCACTTTTTATTGATAAGCCAAGGAATACAAATGTGAAGATGCAAAGAATAAGAATGCACGCACTTCACAATTATCATTGCAGTTTTATGTTTTGCAGTAGAGCAAAAAAAAAATGACAGAAGCTTGTTTCCTAGTCTGAATGGTTTAGATGGTTATACGGAAGTTTCTGTAACTTATCCTTTCTTATCTTAAAAGATAACTTATCCAGTTATCAAATGAATGATAATTAATTGAAGAGTGCTTTGAGTTCCTTAGATGAAAAGTATTATGCAAAAATAAAGAACATTTTAATGCAGGGTAACTCAGCCTGAACACGTGTATATGAAGAGAGAACCTCAGACTTTTGCCCAACCGATGTATTTGGCATTATCTCCGCCCCGCCGCCGAGTTTCCCGATTTCAGCCTGTTCCATAGAGAGATGTTGTTAGTTTGTACATTTACCACTTGATACGTTTTTTCTCTCTCTAGAGTATGCGATCAGAAACTTGATATGACCTTTCCCTGAACATGCTCGCTAACTCAGAGCACCTAAATAAAGATATCTAGCAAATTATTAATAAAAGATGAGGAGGGAGTAAAAAGGCCTCTCTTCTCATTACCATAACAAATGAGGCCAATTACACTTTAATTGGCCTGTACAGGGGGAAACAATGAAATTGGATGTATTTCTTGCCATCTTCCTAGAATAAATCTTTAGCTCTTATAGCAGAAGACAGCAGTAAGATTTCACACTGAATCTTCCTAGCGAAGGGAGGTTTTTGTTCTTGTTATTACATTTCAGTGGACTGCCTTAGACTAATTGCATGATACTACAGGCATTAATTGCTTCTGTGGAAAAGTAACAGCAGGGTATATCGCACGTGTAATGATCTTTGAAGTTAGGTACGCCTTCTCCCTCACGTCCCGTGTCTCCTGGGGAGATGCCCCCCACCCCGGGGAGATGTTTTAAGGAAGCTTTTACAATGTTGTTGGGCAGCTGGGAGATGAAAGTCGAGTTTCAGAACAGCTTATGGTAGAGGAAAGAGCAACGGCCGCGAACGCAGCGCTGCGGAA